CTGCAACTTCAATCAATGAGAAATTTGAGCTGGAGTATAGCAGAAGATCATTAAGACCCAAGGCAACGAGAGCATCACCTGAAAGAGACTCAGTGAGGGTATCTAGGGAAGAAATGCCCCGTTCTATTTCTGATTGAACATCAAAAACCATCAAGTTACTCATCTGAAGCTTTAATGAAAGCTTGCTAACAATATCGAGCACTTCCTTGTACAGAACAGCTACAGCAAGAAATTCACAATCTTGAAGTCTTTTGAGGACACCCTTTAGTTTAGGGCTATAGGTGTAATTGCGTGTCACTTCACCCGTGGCTATCATGTTCTCGCATGTCTGCCCAAGAACAATCCAGTTTTTCAGTAGTCTGTCTAAACCCCTTCGCTGATGGCTGACAAAACGAGTGCCATGTACCTTAGGAAATTTGTAAACTTGCAGCCCCAAAGCCTTAGCGGTGTCCTCAAAAGATCTCTTGATTTTCCCAGATTGTTTGAAGAGATAGAATAAGGTGATCATGAAATCATTCACCTCTACAAATTTCTTTTGCTGCTTCAGAACATCCTTCATGGACAGTTCCAACCTGTGAAGCACGCAGTGAATGGTTATTAACCACCCTCTCTCTTCAGACAATCTGGTAAGAACACCATTGTACACACCGGTATTCACTGCTGCTCCATCGGCAGTGGAAGCTGACATGCAGTTGACATAAGAGGCCTCGGGAATGTTCAGTTTGTGAATGAAGGCATCATCAATGGCCTTTTTAATGTTTTCTGCTGTTGAGTCCCCATATTCAGACAAATCTTGCAAAGCCACACAGTAGTACAGGGGAATTCCCCCTCTGACCAATCTCACAAAAACAAGTTCCTTTTCCGAGCTTGTTTTTCGGGCCATACTCCCATCTGTCAGGGTGGAGTATGCAGTAGCAGATGCCATAATCAGAGCCAGCTTGTCGCGAATACCATCAGCTAAGAAACTTACAAATTCACGTGCTTTATTTGAGTCATCACAACCTTGAATAAGGTTAACACCACTGGCCCGCTGAACTTTGACCAAAGTTGTGAAATGACTCAAGGGTAGGCCATCACACGCCATGATGTACGCCGTCTGCAGCAATTTACGGTAAGCTTCCTCGGCCTGCTTCCGCATAACATCATCTATTCTACGCTGCTTCTTTCGGGGATTTCCATCTTCATCATGTGTGGGAGTAGAAGACGCAGATGGCACATCATCACCTGAAAAATAACATTTGGATTAGAAACAAATAGTAACAGTATACTTAGTACTATGCTTCTTACCATTCATCAATGTTCATAAGTCACATACAGTAGTTCTTATCACGAATTCATCAATTGAAGAAAAAAATAAATAGCTGTGGTTAAAGACAAAATTGCTGTGGAGAGCTTCTGACACCACAGCATTTAAAAAAACAACGCAGTGGCTACGGGTACGGTAGCCGTATCTTAATGTCTCGAGGCTACGGGTACGCAAGTCACACTACGCATGCGCTGCAGCCGTATCTTAATGTCTCGAGGCTACGGGTACGGTAGTCCATTTGCGCATGTGCCGCTTTCCTACAAAATAATGCCGTTGGAAATTAATTCATGATTAATTAATCTCCAGCCTAATAATCTGACCGGGGCATCAACTGAACACACATACGCGCGCCCGCACACACGCACAGGAAGAAATCGGTGAACGGGCTCAAGAGGCCGTTGGCTCAGCAGATAGCTCAGCGTGTGCGCGCAGATTCTGCACGATTTTTGGCCTTGCGTGGCTGTGAGACCGAATATCTATAAGCTTTGAATAGTTTGTGGCCACGCACAGGCCCAGAAAACGCTTCCACCCGTGTGCGCGGCCCTCACGTCGTGAGTCTAATCAGCTCACACACAAATCATTATATATCGTCCCCCAATAAAAGCGCAACGGACACTAGGTGCTCACTCCATGTCAGTAGTTAAAACATCGTTCTAGTGAACACTCGCAACGCAGAAACCACGCACACTGGTGCACACTGTAGATTCTGCTAATCTGTTCTTGACCGCCAACGCCTCAAACTGTAGGCGCCTCTAATTTATTCTATACGATTCGGTGATTGTGCACCGTACACAGTCGTGCAGGCGTGTGCACCTACCTGGCGATGCATGCAGTCTGCGTGTGCACGTACACCAGTGCGTCAGCATACGCGTGCCCCTGTTACAGAATGCGTGGCGTGCCGCGGCACGCGTACTTTCGGCGTCGCGCGTGCGTGCGCGGCCGGAGCCGTCGCGCGTAACTACCAGCCGCGTCGTGTGCCTTGACAGGTGCGGTTAACAGTCGTTTCGTCGCGGTATGTGAACTTACACGTGCGTGCAGCTGGCAGCCGCATAGTCTGCTGTGCGTGCGTGCCGTGTGCCCGTACAGCGCAGGTGCGTACAATGATGTGTGCGGTCGCGTGCGGGGGGTGAAGCGTACCACGGTGCGGTGCGTGCGGTGCCGTACGCGTAGTGCGAGCGCCACGTACCACGTGCGGCGTGCGTGCGCGGCCCTGTTGAACATTGGCCGATCGCCACGACCGAGCACGGCAAGTGTAACTTGCACATCTTTTGTACACGCGGGGCACGTACGGCGCGCTGTGTCGTAGTGCACGGCGTAACACGGCACCACACGTTCCCGCGAACGCCACGCCCCGCGTTCGGCTAGCGCGATCACCTGGTGCATTGGCCGGCGTGCTTGCCTCGTCTGCGTGTGCAGGTACACGTTCTGTGCGTGGCGTCGTGTGTGCTGGTGTGTGCTAGGTTACACGTGTGTGAGTGCGCGTGCGTGCGTACGTGCGTGTATGTGCAAGTTCACGTGCGTGCGTGCGTGCATTGATGTTCACATCGCCGCGCCACGCCGCTACGGCACGTGTACGTGCCCGCAAGAACGGACGTCACGCGCACGCAACGCACGTGACGCTTCACACCGCACCGCACACACTCATGTACCCCGTGAGTAGCGGCAACACCGCACGCACGCACGCATCATGCGACCACGAACGTTTAACCTGCACACGCACGGCACGTGTAGTGCACACGCACGCAGGCACGCATTCACCAACGTGTGACGTGCACACGCACGCATGCCACGCAAACGTGTTAGGTAACACGCACGCACGCACGTGTACGGCCAGCAATCACAGAATTCTACTATAGAAAAGTTAAGGCGCCTACATTTGAGGCCGTTGCTGCAGCAGATAGTTCACCGTGTGCGGCGGGGTTAAGCGACCACTGCATGGAGCACTGCACGGGCAGAGTGGGGCAGACGTGTGAGCGAGGCAGAGAGCACGCCAACCAGGGAGTCTATATATAGCCTATGCTCACCTGAGTGCCCGCGCGCGCGATACAAGCTGAAGCGAGCACCCACTGTTTCCGTTTCAATTTCAGTTTCAGTTTCAGTTTCAGTATCCAGTATTAACCAATTATGCAGCAGGGGTATTGTGTATTCCAGCCACGGCAGTGCCTTCCAAGAGGGTATTCAGTACAGCGGGTGACATTGTTACGGCACAGAGGGCTGCACTGTCAGCAGAAACCATTGCCGTGCTTCTGTTTCTCAAGAAAAACATGAGAAATTAAATCATGTCATATAATACAATATATGATGATATTAAAACCATCAAATTGTTACTATATCATGCATGGTATACACTTCCCAATACGTATTGGAAAATATTGCAATGCGGTTTTGTCGGACACATGGGCAAAATACGGGACGTCTGGTCACCCTGGTACCCGTAGCCTCTGCGAAAAAAAAATGCTGTGGTAAAGATTTTGGGAATTTCTAGCCTACCTTCATTATTGCCGCCCTCCACATCCTGCCGTTCCTTCTCCAGATCCAATCCACACTTGTGGGCATCACACTCTAGATGCCTAACTACAGTATGTTTGCTAATGAATTGGGTTCCTTCCACGAAATGCAGAAGGCCACTTTCACTTGCGCCCTTGCACTTTCCCCGGTTCTTCAAACATCTAACAATCTTCTTGTGATGGCGAGCGCAAGTCTTACACCACGTGTTCTTGACATACAATGTGCCATTCTTCTCAAACGTCTCATATCCAAAAGACTCGCCGATGGGCCAACTTTTAAATGTTCTTTCTTTTACAGTTTTTGAAGTTGACAGCGTGCTTGCTGCCGAGTCTGCCATTGTTTTAAGATACGACGAAGGGTGTATGAAAGCTGCATTCTCATTGGCTACTGAAACTAGAGTTGGGCTAGAATAGATACTCCAGTCAGGGCTCGCGATCCATTGCATAATTGACAGCTCGATCGGGAAAACTAGCCTCAAGGCCACGCGTGGCGCGGCAGCTTTTGATGTACACGATCGATCGATCGCGTACTATATATACGGCCTGCGTAGCCGCACGGCATACACACACACACTTGCAGCGTCAAATAAACGCACACACTGGCCAACGTCTGACAATCTCAAACAGTGAACTAAGCCGTGTCTATATTGTTAAGCGAACTATATTACAATGTTATTAAATGAAGGTACTGTTAGTAGGCTGTTGGACTGTAAAATGAAAATTTGTACATTCTAACCCCCCTAAAATTTCCTCTCAACGGATTTAGACGTTTCACAAAATCGACCCTGGGACTGTGAAATCCGCGGATTTCCGCGGATCCGCGGAAGATTCTCATCCCTGTAAAATGGAGCGCTATTTCACATAATACACAGACTTTTGGTGCGCGATTTCAACCACTTTTATGAGGCGCGATGATGCGCGCACCATGGCACAATTTATGGTGCGCGGTGGAGCGCGAGCGCGATCGCGCCCCTTAAAAATGAAAGCCTGAAGTCGCTCTGTCGCGTGCGTAACTGGGTCGTCTGAATAAGAGAGACGTCTAGGCTTTAGCAATACATCTAAGGGTAGTACAGCTTCACGGCCATGTTGGAGAAAAAATGGCGAGTATTGTGACGTATCATGGATAGCTGATCGATATGCGAATAACGCTGCGCCAATGTGCAGGTCCCAGCTTGCGTGGTCGCCGGTTTGGCCTATCGCGCAAGCTAAAAGCGAAGCTAATGTGCGATGGAATCTTTCACACTGTCCATTAGACTGTGGATGGTACGGGGCGGTTCGGATATGATTTATTCCCAGTAACGTGGTGAGTCGCGACATTAATTTATTAATGAATTCTAACCCATTGTCTGTGAGTATTGCTCTTGGGCAAGAGTGCGTAGGGATAAAACGATTAATGATTATATCGGCCACTGAGCTTGCACTCTTGTCAGCCATAGCGTACGCCTCAGGATAGTTAGAATATAAGTCTAAAAATGTTAGCATATACCTGTGACCCGCCGCCGTAATGGGGTGAGGCCCGGTTACATCGATTGCTACTACGTCACCAACTTGTCGCGCTTGGGGTGCATGCTTCAATCTTCACGCGAACCCTCTGTAATTTACGTGCGTTACAAGTAAAATGTAATTAACAAGTAAAACTTAATGTAATGATATACATCCGCAAACATTCTTGGCCAATAGAAACGTGCTGCTATCTTAGAATAAATTTTCTTGAACCCGAGATGACCGCCATAGATGTGATCATGAAACTGCTTAAGTATATTCGGGACCAAAACATGCGGTATTGCTAATTGTGGGTCGTATTCAGCAAGTGCCGGTCGATTGGTTATGTGATATAACATGCCATCATCTAGGAAATACTGAGAAACCAACTGAGCCTCCTTCAACGAGCAGTCCGGCTTACGTAGCACGTCATAGACGCGCGGCAAAAATGGATCGGCCTCCTGAAGTGCGCCGAGGTCAGATAACATGGATGGGAAATCTGTCGCATGCTGCGCACGGTAGTTACGGGTTCTCGGCATAGCGATAGCCGCGACTAATTTAGCCGGGGCTGTACGTTTGTCCAGCTGTACAGTCCGCTGCTGGTCCGCGTCTTTCTGGTCGTCGTCAAGCTGCGTTAAAACCGCGCCGACTGCATGAGCAGATGCATCACAATACAGGCGGAAAGGTTTAGTGTTATCGGCCAACGCGAGAACAGGAGTCTGCGTTAAACGGGCTTTAAGTGTATCCATGGCGAGCTGTGCCTCGTCGTTCCAGACGAACGGCATCTTCTTGTGCGTGAGTAGATTAAGTGGATGTGCGATCTGTACGTAACCTTTTATAAATTTTCTGTAATAGCTGGATAAACCTAAAAATTGGCATACTGTAGCGTTTCGAGGGTTTTCCCAATTTTGAACAGCCTGGACTTTTCCAGCGTCGGGTATAACACATCCGGGGCTTATCGTGTGGCCTAAATAAGAGATAGATTCCCGGAGAAACAGTCCTCGCCAAAAGCGTCGGACCGTCGGACAAAACCGGTGGTTTTTGCA